ACACACACACTGTTTAAACCTCTGAATACAATATCAATGCTGCAAATTCTATTATCAATGCAATGGTAATAATGATGATTATTTAACAATAGCAGTTTTAATTGTTTAATGATTTAGGATCATTTTAGGACCTTTTGGGTTTTTGATCATTTGGATATGGTAAAACTGAAACTGTTATTTTTATCTTAAGGTTAAAGGATTAAAGTGAACTGAATCCTGTGTTAAGGTTCAAAAATTGAGGAAGGAGAGTACAAACCACCATGGTCCAGAAGATCTTGGTCAAACGATTGACCAAAAGGTCCTAAAATGATCCTAAATCATTAAACAATTAAAACTGCTATTGTTAAATAATCATCATTATTACCATTGCATTGATAATAGAATTTGCAGCATTGATATTGTATTCAGAGGTTTAAACAGTGTGTGTGTGTTTTAGAAAGACTAAGTGCAGCAGGCTGACAGGAAGTTGCAGAGAGTTTGCAAAGTCTAGGTTCGATTATTACATATACGAGAGTGGTTTCTGTCTCTCTGTCTGGTTAGAGGTCAGGAGCTAGTCGGCGAGGTGAAACAGGGTGCAATTGTGGTTAACACACACCCACACACACAAACTCAGTTAGAGAGAATCATTTATAGGTGGAAGTTTAATCATGTTTTGCTTGGGGTTGCAAAAAGAGCAGTTTGTCGCAGAACTGCTGCTGAGGTGTCAAGATGACAAGAGAGCATCCGGCAGTAACAGGAAGTACCTGTTATGAAGATGGAAGACGATGTTCTTTTTAAACTATGTTAAAAGTCATTGTGGTTTTGATCTGATCTATATATAAAATGTATCTGTGACGTTGAAGGGGCGTCGTTAAATCAAGCCCGGATGCTATAAAAATCTGTGTATGCTTTGATTAAGTCGAAGATCAATTGCTGTCTGTGTACAGAATGGTCTTCCCACGCGTGTATTCATTAAAATCAATCGTTTGACCAAGATCTTCTGGACCATGGTGGTTTGTACTCTCCTTCCTCAATTTTTGAACCTTAACAGCTGCATTCATCACATATGAGCATTTAAGGGTGAATACATTTAAAGGTTTTAAACCAGCAGCTAATCAGACTGCCCCTTTCATTGTTCCCGTAAAGGCTAGTGACAACATAACCCAAAAATGGCTCCTACAGTGCCCCTCCCACTGAGCCCTTCTAGCATCAGCCAAAGGCTACCTGAAAAATGAGAGTATATTTTTGCTATCTGGACATAATTAGAACAACAGACTCAGTGCAAGTTAAACTGATCAATACTGTGTACAGCTCCAGTTCACAGTTTTTATGTGATTTTTGCACCTTATAAATGCTAATGTTCACTCACTATCAATGAAAGTAGCCTCACAATGGGGGTGTAAAGCCAACGTTTCTGAGTTCACAGGTAGAAAATCAAATGATTGCTTTAAAGTGTTTAATTAAATAAATACATTTTATTTTCAAATGTAAACAGCTATTTTTATACACATACACCTGTACAGACATGCAGCCTGTTAAAGTAATGCACAGGTTATATTTACTGCATCCTTCAATAAACAGCAAATTGCATTAAAAATCAGTCTTTTATTCATTACATCAAACAACAGAGAAAAAAAAGTTAATTTCATCTTTAAACACAAACGTAAAAACTTCCTCTTAACCAACAGTGACTGCTTCTCTCTCACAGTCGTATATTTTTTAAGAAATAAAAGAAACCAACTGAAATCAGAAAAGGGACCAAATTCTAAAACATCACCTTTTTTAAACCCCAAACAGAACTTTTTATTAAAAAAGAAAGAAAAGGGGAAAAATACGAACATAAAATGAGCTAAACGTATGTCAGTGTCGCTTAAACTGTATTTTAATGGCCAGTAGGTGGCGATTCCTTGGCTGTGTATAGAAGTCAGTTGATTTATTACCTCAGCGATGAGTTTCTGGCTTCAGTTCGAGGGAATACAACACGACGTTCATTTTGGAAACTATGGTCCCGTTTAAAGTATATTAAACAAAGAAGGATACGCTTTAGTGCTTTCAAAAACCCAAAGTGTGCAAGACCAAAACTTTAGCTGGGAGTTTGAAGTGGTCATTCACAAACCGCTGGACACTGCACAGTGGCCACATCCACGTTTTAAAACCACATAAAGACGTCCGAATTCAACAGAAATCAAATGTAAGTGGAGAGCTCTTCATCAACCTGACCAAAGCTCACTTTATCCTGCCTTATCTCTCATCTGCAAACACATAAGACCAAAGAACCTGTGAGACACACATCATTGTAGAAACGATGATGCTCACTGAGCTGCAGTGTTTTTACACGGTGCACGCTTCACCTTAAATCTGCACACAGCTCATCCAGCTGAACTACAAGCACATTTGCAAAAACTAAAACAGTCAAGTTATATTTGTTGCTTCCTAATAGACTCACAACATATAATTAGTTACTCTGACCGTTAAAATCAACAAACCAACTGCAACATAACTCAGTCACTCAGTTGTTAAACGTATCGAATCAAACAATCGAAGCTAATGAACCTGATACTGAATTGTCATTAATAAATAATTCACCTTCTCGCTGACTTTAACTCAGCTTTAAGGAAAAAGCACGTACTGTCGTCCGAGACATTGTCCAGCAATATTTGGCGATCAGTGAATCTATCAGTGCTAATAATGACATCATCTTGATTAGAATTCACATTGTCTCCTTCACTCTGGTCTCCATGGTGACCGTACATATGATACATTTATATTACAAGAGGAAAAAAAACCTCAGCAGGTCAAAGAAAAGTCGCTGAACTAGGATGACATCCATATAACGTCCATCAGCCCATTTCCTGAGGAACACGATATCTGTGAGTAGGAAAAAACAGCATCCGCACTCTGGAAAGCTTCTCGGGATAAACTGCAGTGTGCACTTGGCGGACCTCAGTGTGGGCAGGAAATCCTGTGGCTGATTTTCAGTTTGACTTCCTGTTTTTACTGAACTCTCTTGGCTTCTACTGATCCAGCTTCTCCTCGCTGAAGTTGCACAGGAGGCTCTTGGCTCCATTCTGCCATGAATACAATGTCTCCATTGGAGTTTTCCCATCCTGCAAGGGAAAAAGAAACAAAGAAACTTTGAATGTTCCTTTTCTGGTACTGGCCCTGCAGACAGGATGAACGCAGCACATGTTCTCACTAAACAAACAGATTATTCAACATAATATTTTTTAAGAAAAGCAGAGGTTTTGTCGACATCAGTCTACTTTAACTATGCACAAAGACACAAAGATTTTTGAGTGAAGTTTTGAGGGGCTTGATATGAAGCATTAGTTCAGGTGGGACGCAAACCAGGAAATCAGTCAGCGTACCCCGGCTAATGACTCGGCTGATACGCCCTCCAGCTGCTGAAACTCATAAGGAATGCAGGGAGGTAGGTAAGCTGTTGCTCAAATGCAACCCAGTTCTTTCCTTCAGGTTGTGTCTGATTTAAAGTCACTGACGGCTGTTCTTAAAGGGGCCAGACTCTTACTGCTGCTCTCGGTGCCTCCGGCTTTGAGGCAGATTAAAGAGCACGAAGATGCCAGAACAGAATCACACCTCTGAATATCCCTGCGTACAAAATTAGGTCCCTTCTTGTGACTGTGTGATCCTAATGGTAGAAAACGTCACATGCAAGGCTTGTGTTACGCTTTTCAAATCAGTGTAAACAATACAGGTGTGACAACACATGGAGTACGACATATTGTGTGTAGTTTCAAAAACCCAGTTGGCTCTCTGGAGGAGGCGTTGTGTACTTACAGAGTTCTTTGTGTTGAGACTGGCCCCGTACATCATCAACAGCTTGATCATTTTGAATCGGTTTATTCTCACAGCATCGTGCATGGGTGTGTCTCCGTCCTACAGCCGAGGAGGAAAACCCACATTTCAGCAGAGAATAAACTGAACACCTATTTTTATCATTTATCACGATCATCATCTTTTGGTTTGTGTAATTATGGATCGCTGGTGTCAGGACACGAGTGCTTAACTTATTAATGTGCCCCAAATTCAGGGTGAAATAGACCACAAGGAACAAGAACCCAGCAGCTGAGAAACAAACTAAAACTCTACGTTTTAGAAAAATGCAACGCTAAACATCCAGCTCCAAACAAACACAAATTCTTTTACAATGAGTTACCCATTGCAGGAGTGCCTGAAGCTGAATTGGCTTTATTATTTCATAGACTGTATATAAAGGATGGATGAAGCCGCTGTGACATCACCCTCTGTTTGCTGAAGTCCTGTTGCTTGTACTTTCGTGCTTACTCTGTCTTTGGCGTTCAGGTCTGCTCCACAGTGAATGAGGTGCTCGGCACAATCGCAGTGTCCTGTCCTCACAGCCACGTGCAGAGGAGTGCTGTGCAGCTGAGGAAGAGGATGAGGAGGAGAAGAAGAGGAGTTTATGTTCATGCACGAAGAAATTCTGAAAATCAAATGTCATGAAAATACTAAAGTAGAGTATTTTACGAAAGTATCTGGGCGAGTGCTGCTCACACCACTAGATGGAGCCAAAGTAATTTTCAAAATAAAGAACCGGCTGCAGCTGTTGTGACCTCGAGTAACCCTTCCTCGCAAGTCCTCCACCAACCTTGTCTCTGGAGGTGAACTTGGCTCCTCGATCCAGGAGGAGCTGCAAGGCCGGCAGGCTGCCTCCCCTGCAGGCCCAGTGGACCGCTGTGGCCTCCAGCTGAAAACACACACACGTGTTAGAACAATTCTGTGTGTGTGTGGAGGAAACATCACTAATAAAGAGGGTAAAAGAGAAGGTGTGACATATATAAAATGCTCACCTTGTCTTTTTTCTCCATAGCCGCTCCGGCCTCCAGAAGTCTTTGCATGACCTCCACGTGTCCTTTGAAAGAGGCTTTGTGCAGAGCTGTTCTCTGGAACTGGACGTTATACAGAAAAATAAGCTTCATACATGTAATTACTGTACATGACTTCAACATGCTAATTTTTGAGATTTTGACGTGCTGCAGGCAGACATCGCTGTGCCACACTCACATTGTCGCTTGCATCGGGGCTTCCTCCGTCAGACAGGTACTTCTCCACCACAGCCAGTTTGTTCTCCATGACTGCTGTGAGGAACAGCTCCTCGTCTACTGTCTCCGGCTGGAAAATGTGTGCAGAGAGACTTTAATTAAGAAACAGAGAAAAAGAAAGGTACGCCTCGGAGCATGCGGCAAGAGAAGCTGCTGCTGTTGCAGCTCTATTGCAGACTTTCATGCATCTTTGGTTCACGTCATTCAGCATCAGCACACATTTATGCAATGCCAGATTTTATTTACACTGCACCCTTTCTTGTCATCAAGGTTTAAAGTATTTCTGGTCAAATGCAAATTAATAATATTGAATTAAATCAAAATTTGGGAATTCATGAAAGTCAAAAACCTTACCACAGTCTCAGGCTCTGGCTCATCTTTCTTCAGGACCGGGCTCTTCCTCTCTCTCCGTTTCTTCCTCAGCTGCAGGATGTTGAACAGGTCGTCCACCGTCTCCAGCTTCAGTCTGCCGCTCCTATCCGTCTGACAGGTGGAAATAAGACAGAGGCCGTCAGCACGCAACAGTAAAAACCACAGACTTCATTTATTATTCAACTTCTACTGGTCTGTTTATTCACTGAATGATAATCAAATGCCAACATGAGCAGTTATAAGTTGTCATACTCCTGAATGCCTCCAGGTGGCAGCACAGATGAGGAGAAAACCAGTTAGATGGCTTCAAAATTCCTTCACCTCTGTGCTTGGATGAGATCATTTACCAGATTTAAGTGACGTCAGTCTGACTTATTACATAATCCTGAACCTGTAATTCTCTCTGCTGTGGCAAAAAGGAAACGCCTGAATTTAAACTGAAATTTGTCACCATTACTGCAAATATGACTAAAAGCACGTATTACACATGATACACAGCTCTAAAACTGACATATTTAAGTAGTTTTTACCTAGAGATGAGTAAGTTCTTCTGTTTAAGAATATCAAGTTTAAATAATGTCACATTTTATTGAATTAGCACAAAAAATAATTGTATTCATTCTCACGCTGGTCATCCACACATGTATCTGATAACACTTGAATATTGTGATATACTCATTTTATTTGATGCATTATTGTCACTCCTATTTTATTTTAAGTAATGAGACTTTCCTGTAACTATCATTGCTGCTGCAGGTGGTGATTGCACCTGCAGAGTCACAGCTGGTGTAACATAATCATATTGACATGTTTATGTACAGCTGTCAGTAAAATAATACTTCTCAGTGTAACCTGTCATCGCACTGTAGCTGCTGCTCTTACATTGAGAGCTGCCACGCTGACTTCCTCCTGTTCGCTGCCGCTGTCACTCTCCTCCGACAGACGCCCGCCGACCCCCAGCTCCCCGTGGGATCTGCGATCATCCCGCTTCTCCTGATTGACGGCCGCCTCGTACACGCCCCCCTGAAAGTCATCTGCCTCTATGCCCTCTGACCTCTTACCGGTCACCTGCAGGAAGAAGGAGAGGCGGAGACGTCGTGAGGTGGTTTTGTGGTAGTTTGATAACTGTTATATATCCAACAGCTGAAAGGCCAAAGTCTGAATGGTGCCTTTTGCAGAAAAACACCAAGAAAACCTTCCTGATGAATAGATTTGCAGTGTGAAGCACAGACTGATGCACTGAGCTTTGGCTTTGCTGCTGCAGAGTCAAACGCTTGCACCCCTCAGCACAGCTAAGGCCTGCTGCAAACAGAGGAATGTAAACACACCACAGCGTCAACGCATTAACACACGCTCACTCAACTCTTTAATGAGCCACAACTGTTCCATTCAAATCACTCATGTAGTCATTTACACAGCTTGTAGTCCATGCATCACTCTAACAATGACTGCTGAAGGAAACAAAGGGATGTTCAAGTCTAATGCACAGCAACAAACACGGCTGAGACTGAGCTAACCTCTCTGGTACCTCATCATTAAACCACTTTTACCTCCAGTGTGCTTTTATCCTGGAAAGTATACTGAGTGAATTTAATGGATTTAAAAGTTAAATCCTGCGTTTGGAGTTAAAGGCAGTCAGGTTGTGTGCAGAGACAATTCATCACATTTTAAACTGCTTTAGTCAAACAAGTGCAGAGCACAGAATTGAGAAAATCCCATTCATGTCTTCTTTGTTTTTATATATACTTCAATAACTATTCATGGTGATATGCTGTCACAGATGTGAAGGAAACCTCCAATACACGTGCGATTAGAGACGTTTCAGATTCATTGTTGAAAATACGTTTTAAGACATTTTAGCTGCTTCATCATCTGGTTTGTAACTGAATTAAAAATGAATATTTACTTGTACTTTCTTTGTTACAAGCAGAAGGGACATGTCCCCGCCAATAATTTGGTGCAGCGGTGCAGAAAGAGTTAAATCACGTTCTCTACTGGAGTCCTCCGTCATGTGACAAATATGGCCAATGTGATTGGCTGTGCCTTTCAGGGAGCTCTGTTTAGTTTTAGCAGCGGCAACCCTGAGCTGCGAGGAGGAGAGGAGGACGGCAGCAAAGAGGAAGAACCTGGATGTAAGAAAGTATTTTTCAAAGAAACCTGTAACTCACTTAAAGTCAAGTTCACTCATATAATGTGTCCGTCATAATAACGTTACAGACTATGCTAGGCCGTACATGCCAACCCTCCCGATTTTTCCGGGAGAATCCCGAATTTCAGTGCCCCTCCCGAAAATCTCCCAGAGCCACCATTCTCCCCAATTTCTCCCGATTTTCCACCCGGACAACAAAATTGAAAAACCATATCCCAGCCTGGCCCAGCCAATTCCAGTGTCCAATAATGGCTACTATTACTGCAGCTACTTAGTTTTAATATTACTCTTATTACTCTTTCTGGGTCGCAAAATAAACTTTTAACAGATTTTCAGGCGAGAATGTAGCTGAGTAAACTTTGTTGAGTACTTAAAGTCATATTCTTTTATTGTCATGACTGTATTTGAAGCTATTTTTATTTTTGTATGATACCTGATTTATATGGAATATGACTGAAGTAAACTAAAGTCTAAAATACTTAGTCAGTCATTTGTTTAATAGTAATTTAACATTATATATTTCACATGTAAAACTATGAATTGTAATTTTAAACGGTTTAAAAGCAGGTAGAATAGCATATGTAGGCAAGTATGTTTCTCCTTTTGTTATGAAGAAGCAAAAACAGAAAAAAGAAACAGGGCAGGGTTTGGTGAATCATCCGTCCCCACCAACGTCAAAACCAAATCTAGGCCCTTGCATTGTGCAAAATCACAATCAAAGAGCCTTACATGGGAAATTAAAGATGCTACAACTGCGGTCCAGGTTCTAGTATTTTGCTTCAGGTTGACTGGCTTCTTGTTTTTAACTCTTGCTGCACACAACAACAGATATTTATACTCTTTACTTTTGTGCATTCAAAATCACTTCTTTTTGGTTCCATTCCATACAAAAATGGTTTAATTTAAATAATATTTAGGAATTAGTTAAAGAAATGTGACAATAAGGAACAAAAATCTATTTGATTTCTCATTTTCAAATGAAGTTTCTTGCCTGTTCTTCTTTCCTCGCACTGCTTCTCTCTGTTACAGTTGCACACATCAGCACATCTTACCAGTTCTTCAACGCTGAGCAGTCCCATTCTTCTCCTTGATGGTTTCACTGTGCCGTGGGTACCTGGAGGTGGATTTTAGTCCACAGATCCTCTGGTCTGATGCTCAGTATGTCCGTCTGTCTGTCTCTTTGCCTGCAGCTGGAGCCTCGGCTTCTTATATAGCTTTGCTAAACTGCCGGTCCGTCACTGAGCTCAGATTACATCACTGTCCTCATGTGCTCATGTGGCATTCTCAGAGTTATCAGCGCTGCCCCCCTCCCCTCCTCCACCCTCATATCCATACTCAACCCGTCCCACCCCGAGTGCTGCCCACTTTGGGCTGATCCTGGCACGTCTGTGTCACCGAGCAAAGATGGAGATGAGCTTTGAGGAGTTACTCTGCACAAAATGCTGATGCTGAGTGTTCTGAAAATTGTTTGAACCAGTCACATGCATTCTTGTAAACATAAAGATATAAGACTCTGAAATCTTGAAAGTGCAAAATCTTTATCACCCCCTCCTGCTCTTTGCTTGAATCTTTCCTTGTTTTCTATCAGTTATCCCTGATTTGTCTTCATACATCTACATTCTTTTCAGCAACTTCACGTCCTGCCTTTGTGTTTAGCAGATGAGCCCTCATTAACATAATTAGCTCCTAAAAAGTTGAAGTTCAGGCTGGAATGAGTCTCTGCGCAGTGTTACCTCACTACGGTGAGAATCCATGCGTCTCACTGTGGCAGTAACCCGGTGTATCATGGAACAAATGCCAAAGAGCCCAAACTCTCTTGGATGCTTTGAGGAAACAGCAGCGTCAGGCAGTCTGGGAATAAATACAAGCTCTTTGCATGTTTGGCCTTTGACCTGCTGTCTGCTCTTTGGTACTTTTGATCTTGACCTCACCTTCGTCTCCTCCTTTTTAAAACAGATATTGTGACCTTATCCTCTGACTGAGTCTCTGTGTCCTTCCTGCTGATACAGACTGATATGTTTCCTGTTCTGCAGGTGAGTCTGATCGCAGCACACAGACATATTAAAACTGCCTCATGAACCTCTGAAAGTTGTATAAACTTTTGCTATTTTGTGCCAAAATACAAGGTATAAATTTTACTATTTCCTTCAACTTTATCTTTCAAGTGACCAAAACGTGTGAGCTGAAACTTTCTAAAATGTAAACCTTTAATGTCCTTTAACCTCTGCAGGGCTAATAAAACAGGTATATAAAGGTTTAAAATGTATTGTTCTATTTGTCTGTTATTATAAAAAGTTAAATGCTGAGTGATTCATCCTCTCGACCACAGATGATCTTTGACAGTATCTGGCTGGGCCTGTGGTCATAGAAATGCAGTGACATCACCGCGAGGAGACAGGTTCACTGTGGATGGGGAATAAATAGTCACACTTTCAATCATCTTCTCACTGTAGCTCAGCCAATCAGGCATCAAAGTCAAAGGTCAACAGACTGACTGACAGTCGGCGACGGGTAACATCATGTCAGGTGTTCTTTGACTTGCTGGTAAATGAGGTCAACTTGCATAGTACACATATTGCACAGAGCGACGTACAGTACATGCTATGGCAGTGATGACACCTCATCTGACTGCATGCTGCATGAGATCACAGTCCACCAATCAGAAGCCAGAAAATGAAGACGTCATGAGAAGTAACGCATGAAACAAGAAACCCAAAAGTAAAAGTCACTGAATCCATCGACAGCTTGTCTAAAGGATTTCATTTCAGTGCTGACATTTAAATTTCTGAAGAAGAAGCCGAGTAACAATTAAATATTAAATGATGTGGTGCTCACCTGCTTTTATTTAAACTCAAACTGCTGTTGAGTCTATTAAGAATAATAAAGTGCCCACTATTCTACCATCTTAACATCTACACTGTTGTTAGTTAAAATTGTTCTTCATAACTTTAAATGCATATAGAATAATATGTCTGTTATGCAATCATGTATCTCATGATTCTCATACTAATTATTGTGTCACTAAATGGTCAACCATTACAGTCTTTATATAACTGAATTTGATAAAAGGCTTTGTTACTTTGTCCGTTGCTAAATTTTACAGAAGAATTACTGACTTTGTTTTGAAAATGTTCTTAAACACATCAATTGTCTTGTTACGGCTGGCAGGCAGGATTAGGACTCAAACAAAAAGCTTGAACTGGAAAAGGCAGTTTTATTTGCTATGACGGAAACTAGAAGACACAGAGCTAGATGTTTTCAGGCGCCACACAGACAACCCACAGCAATGAGGGAGTACAACTCAACAACAGACAGGAATACACAGGGATCAAATACACAAGGGAATAACGAGGGAATTGGAAACAGGAGTCATGCACACCTGGGACTAATAACGAGATGGGGAGGAAGCAAAACTGATTGCACTGAACATAGGAAAAGGAACTGTCAAAATAAAACAGGAAACATGAAGCTTTCACAAAGACGCAGAGACATGACTGACAAGGTGAACATGAAGGGAAGGCACAGTGATGGAAAACTAGAGACTACAAACTAAGCATAGAACACAAGGAGAACATGAAAAACATTAAATCAAAGAATATTAATTAATTTCTTTACCTTTTATTTTCCGTTATGATGCTGATGTTAGAAGCTGTTTTCTTTTTAGGTTGTTTTTGGTTAACTCTGCTCCAGCAGTGTTTATTCATGAACACTGTCCCTGTTCAAAATAACCAAAATAAAAGAATACTGTAGGCGATACTTTTTTTAATGAATCCATCCTGATGTCACACAGTTACAGGTGTAGCTGCTTTGAATGAAAAGCTTAGGCCAGGGATGGAGTGGCCCAGAATGATCTGAATAATTAAAGCTGATAGTGTTTACCAACATAATAATACAAAACATGTTAATTTCTCCCACCAACTACCCTTAGTGGGGTTTGCTTAATTGATAACTGTAAATTGACCAGGTGTGAACACGAGTGAGAGTGGGTGTCTGCGTCAGTCCTGACAGACTGGACACCTGTCCAGGGTGTACCTGTCCCCGCCACTCGCCCTACGGCAGCTGGGATGCTGAATTGGATCAGCAGAACAGGAAGGACAGATGGATGTTAATTTTTCTGCATGAAGAAATTTGTCTAACACATTAGAAACGATGTCATTCTACAGTCCCGTTTACATCCTCCTATCCTCCTGTTTCCCCTCTCTGATGCAGTTATGGCGCAGATGTCAGTTCACCTCACAGATCTGAAGCACAGTCATCAAGCTGGTGCTCCTAAATGGGAAGGAGCATAAATGAAGTAACTTTGATTAAAGTGGTCATTTCAAACAGCTGAGCAAAGATCAGCAAGCACACAGTGTGTCTGCAAACTGAAGAGCTATGAGACGCTGTAATTCTAAGGAAAAAAGAAAAAGTTCATGTTATGTGTGAAAACTCGACTCAGAGATGGAGAAAGATGTAAGAAGAGGAACAGGAGAGTAAAATGAAAGATCATTCGCAGAGGCAAAGACCGCTCAGTATGTGACACTTAATAAATTGCTCATTTAAAGCTTATATGCAGTATCCTAAAGTTTAGACACAGACGTTCTTTGATGTTGGGAAACAACTTGAAGAATAAATGAAATTACCGTCACGTTGTTTACAGCGATGCACTGTGATGACCTCGGGTACAGGATGACCTCGGGTACCTCAGTCACTCATATGTTACTGGTTCTCAAACTGTGGGGCGAGCCACATTGCTGGGTCACAGACAGCCAGGTGAATTATGGGAAGTGAAAATAAGAAAAATAAATAAATTTAAATTCTTTGATGAATGATAAATGCTGAGGCTTCAAGATTCTGACTGCCAAATAAATCAGAGTTGTCGCACCGATCAGTCATGAACATGCACTCTGTGGATTTTGGTTGTTAACTCCAAACTCTGGACTCTGGTTTAACCTACAGTTCTGTGCAAGGATTCATGAAACAAAGCATTAGCTGTCATGAAATTTCATCTATTTGTGGATTTTTATGAAGCATATCGAATATATTTGCAAGTTACTTCGATTTTATTTTCATGACTACAGACATTTTTTATGATTTAAAAGAGTGTGTATCTTTGCTGAGGAACAGGCATCAGCAGACATGGCTGTGAAATATCTCGAGACCTTCAAGACAGACCTGTTGTAAGATGACTGGAAGTGTTTAGGATGATAGTTTAAGGTATATTTGGTGTTTCAACTATTAAAACAGGCAGGAATAAGTGTTTTCAGAGGGGGTCTCAAGTACTGAAGGATTTCTATTTGGAGGTGGCTGTGTGTCCCTTATTTTTGATTACGAGGAAATAGAGATATGCAATATGTAGTATAATATTATGAAGTACAATATTCGCAATGTATACCATAAAGTACATAATCTAAAAATTACAAAGACAAATACAAACTTAAATAATCACTGACTTTCTTCTGGCTCTTTTTTGACCCTTCCCATCAAACTGGGCTGTCACTCATATTTGCTCTGTGCTCTTCCGACCCCTCAGTTCCTCTGAAAGTGCAAAACCTAGCTGTGGGCTATTTCTGAAACTGACCTTGTGACTGAAATAGATGACAAAAGGGGGAAATCTTTTTGAATGGAGACCTTCACAGTTACTGCACCGCCTACAGATTACAGAGAGAACTGCATGAAGGAGAGGCTGAAGGAAAGCAGGAGTCCAATGAAGAGCTTGCGGATCAATGCTGTATAAGCAGTTACTAAACACACTAAAAGCTTCACAGCTGAGGTATCCTGTTGACTGGATAATGTTCAGCTGGGAATTTTGTATCCACATGTTGTAGCACAGTGTTTATGTTGGTCAAAGAGCTCGTTCCTGATTAAAGAGCAGGCTGGTTTAATCAGCTGAGACTCTGCGACTTGCTTAGTTCACTTTCAGTCAGCGTTGTCTAAGTATCTACGTTTTTCGACTCGCGACAGCCCGAGTTTCAGACACAACAAACTTAAGCAAGTCGTGGTCTCTGTTATCTGTGTACACTCTTATGTTTTGGGCTCAGTGTGGGAGTCTTTGCAGCTTCTTTCCCTCCTGTGCTCCTTGTTTTCCTGTATGTCTGCGTGCACCTCCTCTGATGAGGAGTTCCCCCGTGCTTTAGGGTCATCGACAAGCAAGGTTTGCTGCTGAACCACAAATGTGTAGTTTGATCTTAGTGGGGAGTAAAGGGTGGGCTCAAAACTAATCAAGCAAAAA